CTGCCCTTTCCTAAAAGAAGCTCCTCTCCATCTCTTAAATATGGAAAACATGGACGCATAGTTGGAACTGAATAAGAATGCAAAAGTAAGTAACATGTGGTATCCTCCCATGGATGCCCAGTTGTGTAAATATCTGAAACAACTCCAAGTATAAGAATTCCAAATGATCAAGTGAACAAAACTGGCTTGAGAGAAATACTTTCCATAGTTTTTCATATCTCCTACCATTAAAAAAAGATAAATATTAAAAAATAAATAATAATAAACTCAGAAAAGAGTGTTTTGACAGGTCAGTGGAAATGGGTTATTCACAGATCATAATAAACTCTCCAGATAGATTTCAAATTTGTGAATTAAAATTCTGAAATGTTTCAGAATGTGTAACATAAACGGAAAAAAATAAAGCTAGGGATAATTACCATAAAAGAAGTGAAGTTACCATAAAAAAAGTTTAATGACGAATTACCATGTGATAACAGATGCAATTTAATGTTTTCTTCCATAAGATATAAAAAGTCATTTTGTATGAAATATCTTTTGATCCACCAAAAGTAATTTGATTACTTCAAAAGAAAATTGTACTTGAGAGGGAAAAAACATTCAGCATGGCTATTCAGATTTATTAGATTAAGTATATAAAAAACACAGAATGCAATAAAATGAATTTTCAAAAGCCTAGGGTATTACATTTAATTAATGTCTACAAAAAGAAAACAGTTGATTTTAGACAAACTGCATAGTGGACACACCTATATCTTTCAGAGCTTGTGGACCTTGATTAAAAAAAAAACTTTACTGATAGTCTTGATTAGATCTGCCATATATCACTCAGGTGTTGAGAGAGTCTGTTCACCTTGTTGTAGAGGGTAGAGCTCCCACCTTGCACTGGAGGAGTATTAAGTATCACTCAGGCCATATTTAACTCTGCACACTGTTGCTAGAGTATGGAGAAAGCTTACACCTGTGGACCTCTCCTTATATGTAACAGGAGGAGATACTCAAATCAGAAATAAACCCAAACTTCTCACAATGTTAATCCTGGTAGGACAATTGCCTTGGTGACAAAAATAGAAATACTGATCTTGGAATCGAAGTTTTATTGTAAATAGGATGGTTATTTTCCCAGGGTCAAGTTCAGACATGTTGAAGTGTCTATGGTGGGCTTAGTCTGAACAGCTGCCAAAAGGTGGCAGCACATGTCAATCTAATGAGTAATGTTGCTAAATACAAAAATAGGCATAGGAATATAAGGAAATAGGGTAGGAAAAAGCAGCATTTCTAGAAAGAATTTAAATTTTAATTTAATTACATTTTAATTGCAAAGTTAAAAATTATATTTTTAAACAACCCTGTATGTATTTTTAAATTGCAAATGCTTTTTTTAGTCATTTCAGGTTATTATGTAGGTTATTTCAGGTTATTTAGTGTGCCTCATGCACCAGCATGTACTGGCGAAAATGTATGCAATCACAATTTATTAACCCTGTCAGATTTCCCAATATGTTTACCAATGTAAAGTGCACAGTTTTTAGTCAAATGCCACATAAATTCATCTAAAATTCCTTTTTGAAATGGATATGAGTACTGATATTTTACTTGATATCACGACAGGCTTAAATTTCTCTAGAAACATACATATCTAGTTATCCAGAAAACACATTTCCTGTCTATGGAATAAAAGATACCCCATAACCATAAGTTTTCAATAAAAAAGAAGATACTCCCATTTCTCAGTATAGTCTTTATAAAGCTAAAGAAGTCAGATACTTCAGAAAACATTTAAGAGATGGATTCCCAAATACATAGTTCTCAATCTGGAAAGAAGTCGCGGATTAAAGATTCTGCCATGTCTCAATCTGAGCCTCATAAGAAGGGGAAGACCAAGGTGACCAATGGCGCAGCTAATGCAGCCCAGCGTTATGAGCAATACAAGCATTTTGTGGAGTCCTCATCGAAGTAGGAAATATATGCATAAAAAGTTGTAACTATTGTCAACAAAACTAGGAGTTTGATCAAATCCTTTGTGAAAAAGTATTGAATAACGGATGCAAACTAACATTACTTAATTCTAACCATTTTATCAAAGTGCTTTTTATTTTTCATTTCAGATTCAAGATGGCAGAAGACGTAAGTTTACTTTTATTCACATCACTTTTCTTTTAAAAAATTCCAAGAAAATATATTATTTAGTAGTATGGTGTTGTGAATTTTAGAACTATTAGATAAATATGCCAAAAGAACATAATTGTAACTTCAGAGTGATTTAGTTTTTCATGTTAAGGCATAAAATTACTTTTCTTTTTCCATCCATGCTTTTGATATGCTTAGAATTTATTTGCAATTAAATGTATATATTTTTATTTACAATTGAATTGATAGATTTTATTAACATTTGGATTTATTGTTTACTCTTGATTGCAAAACGTAAATCATTGCATCAGTAACCTGATTCAGCTTTTTTATGTTACCTCATTGATTTCCATGTAAATGCTCATTATACGCACTTGGCAAATTCCTCTTTCAGATTTACACCTTTGTGTTTATTCATCTAGAAAACATTTTGTTTCAGTGTACAGGAACAGAGCCATTACATTTTTGTGAACTGATTTGATTTGATTGTTATTGTTGTTTAGGTTGTTTAATACTTTGGAATGATAATGCTTAGGTCTTAACCTAAGAGATGCAAAGCATATTATTTATTGCACTTAGTAGTTTACTGGATTACCTAAAGGTGGCAGCACAGGTGAGCCATATAGATGGCAGCACAGGTGAGCTATGTAGCCAGACCAATATCAGTGTGCTGCAAGACATTATAATACCTGAGCAGGTAAAGCTCTAAGGAAATCAATTCCAGGACAGCACACTGACTGGATATGTTTTAGAAATTATTCACAGCATTTGCCAGAAATTTGAGCCGAAAGTGTTCGAAAGTCACCCTTAGCAAAACGGTGCAAAGGATATGGTTTCATATAACATGGAGCTAATGATCAGTAATGAACCCCAGCCTCCCCTTGTTAAAGAATCCAAAACTGCTGGATGCAGCCTCATTAATTTCAGAAATGTTTGAGGGTCATGCTCAGGGTAGTGAGCTATTGGTTTATGGTTTATATGGATATCAGGCTTTTTTTCTACTGAACTACTTCAGCAGCATTATCTTTCATGACATCCAACTATTACCTACATAAATTCTTTAGTTTCTCCCCAAAGTAGATGAGAAGAAAGTTAAGTGTAAGAAAGTAAAAGGTCATTTACAGTGCCATTATGTCAGTTTTAGTTGTCATCTTATAATTGTTGAAAGAAAAATTTGAATTTGCACTTGGTTCATATGTTACAAAACAGTATTGAAGGTAGACTCAATTGACAATACATTGCATTTTATATAGTAAGTTTTGAATAGCTTTTTTAAAACATGATTGAGAAAGAAATGGAGAATGCAAATGCACTCATATGAAACATAAAATGTAGTGTTGATTGACACACACACACAAAGACACACACTGATTGAACATTGTCATAAATTCATAATGGATGCTAGAAATGATGGTTTTCTACACAGCAAGAACCGAATATATTATTGATAAAAAAGGAATTTCTAACCAAAACTATAGGCATGAAGTCAAGACATGAAGTCAACACATGATGGAAATTAAAAGTACATTTGCCTAACACTTGTGTGTAATTAGTTCATATTTGAGGTTATTGTGTGCTGTGTTAGTTCTCTAACACCATATAATGGCCTCTCACTATATAAACATGTCTGAAGGATATAAGAAATACCTAGGAATCAATACAAATTACTATACAATATACTTTCACTAAAGGAAAAAAAGACTTTCTTTTTTTTCAGTTTCTTCTACAATGAATTTACTGTTGATATATAAGGCACATATTTATAGATTGTCCATTTCCATGTAATTTTTTTTATTAGAACCTATATTCAGCCATAGAATACTATTTTGAAAAATACCCCAGGCTATCACTTTTTTTTTGGTTTGGTATGTAAGGTATTTTTATCTGGCAAGTAAGACACCTTCATGATCAGATGTCAGAAAAAGCAGTACCTTTTTTTTTTTTTTTGAAAAACCACACAAAATACAAGAATGCAGTGAATTAGGCTTGGTGTTAGGTCAAGTTTAGTGGGCTGGCATATACTTTATGGTGAATTAATGAATGAATACTGATTTTCTTCCCATTTTCTGCCCATTACTGCTGGCATATATCACAGAAAGGTAGACTAATTATTTTGACAGATGTAAAGATAAGAAATAAGTATAAATATTTCTGGGAAGAAGTTGATAATTACACCTTTTTCATGATTTGAGATATTCATCTTTTTATATAGTATTGTAATATATATTCCTTTGTATTTAAAAAATGTGTGAACATTTAATGTAACAGAAACTCACCTGCCTCGCTGCTTTTTACCTGGAGGCAGGAAGTAACTGATAGTCCCTTGAAGGCCTCACTTCCTTGCACTAAGTAAGAGCACATTTACCTCATGAAGGAATTTTACAGGAGCATGCTTCTATCTACCTTTGACATTTGAGCAGTTTGAATAGATCAGTTCTGCAGGAAGAACAGTTTCCAAATATCTTTCTTAAGGTTATAGTCAATTGCCATAGGATCTAATTCATCAATATTTGCAAGTAAGATCATTGTGCATTCAGTTGTGTTTACAAAGTCAACATTGTAAAGAGGGGCTGTTTATGGTGTGAAAGTATTGGCTCTGAGTCACTCAGAGATTTGGATTATGATCCTTCATCCTCCAAGATCTAAAGATATACATATTTCTTGCAAAGTTTTACATATTTGATTTGTACCACTTCCTCTATCTTTGAAGTTACATCTGAAAACTGCATCCATCATGTAATCATGTAGTCAAGTTGCATAGGGTTTGAATTACATGTCCTGGAGAACTCAGCCAATCGCTGTCTTTCCTTGAAGTGGCTTTAATCAGCATGGCCAAATAATCCATAAATAGCTTCCCATTTAAGGTATACAGGGAGAGTACTGGGGCCCTCTAGGTTGTCTGTTTATTGAATGCAGACTATTACTGTCTTTCAAGCCAGGAAGATTCTATGTAAATTCTGCTGTGGCTTTTAGGCCAGAGATAGTCCCAGTGTGTTCAGGGCTTCCCCCACCCTTCCCACAAGTTTGAGAAATCATGGTAAGTACAGCTGTGTTTTTTATAAGCGAAAAATTGTGTACAACATAAAATATAGTCTTAGTGGAACAGGTAACTGCATACGTGAGGACTTTTTATTGAATACCCAGACAGCTGACCTGGTTACTGTTCTGAAAAGAAAATTGCTAAAAGCTTTCAATTTTTTATCTGCAACATAAAATCAGTAAAAGTTGGGAGGGCAACTATAAGATCGGAAAACATGGGGTTTATTACTGTTTGTGAAATTCTTCAGGGCATATAGTCTTCACCTGAAAATGGTTCAGTGCAAGCGTCATCTAATTGAATCCTTGAGCAGTTAATTTATTCTTTAAGGGTAGCAATTTGAACCCTCTACAGTGTTCAATTAATAAGAAGAATGTATTACCGAACCTGACAATATGGTGGTCTTCCTTAAACTGAATGTTACTTTCAAACATTCAGAAATTTCATTTTAGCTATAAAAGTATACCAATACCACATTTTGCAACTTTCTCATGTGTAATGAAGTGTTAAGGAGTAGCTCAGAAATTTGAGAGGAAATCTGGCAGCTAGTTTAGATTAACATAAATGGGTAATTTCTGTGCCGTAATTCTCTGTTAAGACTTTAAAGTGTTCCTCTCTATGGGTACTTGTATATTTTTAGTTGGTGAGAGTTGAGAGTCTAATGCCTCGGCAAACATCTGTGGAAAGAGTATTTAAACAAGAAAAGTGCAGGCCATGAGGTTTATGTTTACCCAAAGCAGATTATGTATTGTCTGTCTGTCAAAACTTCAAGCCTTTTCTATTTGATATATCTGGTTCTGGTTTCCTTTAGGCCAGCAAAGCAAGAGTTCAACGAGAGAAGGAAAAAGCTGCTGAGAAGAAAGCTGAAGAAGAAGCAAAGGATGCTGGGACTCCATCCACTAAAAAACGTGCTCAGCGCACTACCTCCAATGTGTTCTCCCTATTTAGTCAATCCCAAATCCAAGAATTCAAAGAGGTAACATAAGGAAGTTGTCAGGGTGTTTAATATAGAACATTGCATTTTATATTTACCACCATTTCATTGCAGAAAGTTAAAAAGTCTAAGGAAAAGGGGGGTGAGGAAGAGCCCAAGCGCGCCCAGCGTGCCACCTCCAATGTTTTCGCCATGTTCCCCCAGCATCAGATTCAGGAGTTCAAGGAGGTTGGAGATGCATGACAGTGTGGAGTGTGAATGCATGTGTCCCCATATGAACCAAATGGAATACAGTTTAATCTATTTTATGGATGTGATAACATTTACAAAACAGATAAAATCCCTGTTGTATTTTTGTTTATTTATTTGTTTATTTTGTGAATTGGAAAAATCCAACTAGAAGAATTATTTTTAAAAAGTTTTTTCTATGGTATATTGGGCTAATCCCTTGTCCATCCTTGTTTTAATGTAATCCTAAATTACCAGCCACAGCCCTCAAAATGGAATCCTGACCTGAAAGGATCTAGCTCGCCAAAACAAATATCTCTCACTCAGTGGGGGCCGCTAGTGTTGTATGAAGGTGTTTTTTGGGGTTTACCTTCTCCATGTGAAAAAACATGAGCAGCCATGTCTATATCAGGCATGGCCAGACCAGTGAGAGAGTTTCTGCTACCTTCTACTACATCTGTTTTCTTGGACATTTTCCAGTGATTTCTTGAGAGAAACCATGTGGAATAATTGTCCATGTTCTTGAGAGTATTGGAAGGTAAAAAGATAAACTTTAAAGATTTTTTCCAAGTATAAAATGTGGTGCTTGAACTGTTTTGGAAAGGAGGGGGGCACTCGCCTTGTTCAAAGTTGTTTCCCTTATTTGCCTGTTTTGCCAGATTTTTATGGATCAAATACTTGCAAATTATTTAAATATTCCCTTTTATTTTATTTTTCATTGTTTAGGCTTTCACCATGATTGACCAGAACAGGGATGGGTTCATTGATGTGGAAGATCTGAAGGACATGTATGCTTCCCTTGGTGAGTTTGGTCCTTAATTAAAATATGTAAATCCTCTGTCGATGGGAAAACATTATGTTTTAGATCTCTTTAAATCTAACTGATGTTGTTTTATTTGAAAGTAAAAAAATATTGAATCCAGATAGCAGTTCAAGCATATGTACTCTGAACCTACCTGATCCATATATTAATCTCCTGCAGCTTTTAGCCTTTACTAATTCACTTGTTATTTTGTGGGCAGGAGAGCATACATGCTTACAAAACCTGGAGTTGTGATTTAGTAAGACTCCTTCAAATGTTCAGCCTCTGACTCATAGGGTTAAAGTACCTGGTATATAATCCAATTCAGGAAACATGGCTGTTACCTGCCCACAAAGTGAAATGTCTTAATCTATCTGGCAGACGTCTTTCTGAGATTGTGATATATATTCTTATAGGCTGAAAAGCATGAAGGTACTTGAAATAAACCACTCTTTATATGTATAGCCATTTATAACCTCTGTATCTATAACCATCTTACCTTCTTTTCAAGAAAATCAGTTAGTGCACAGTTTGTAATAGGTTATAACTTCCAGGTTATGTCAGTGAAAAATGTTTATTTCTCAGGTGAAATTCTGTAGTTTGTCCAAGTTTATAGTTGAAAGGAAACTTGGCAATTGTGGTTTGGCTTCTTTAGGGCAACATATATTTTACTGAACATCACTTCAGCATCTTGAAATTTATAACCTGAACACATCCTGTGCACCTTTAATCATGCTCTGTCTTTTTCTCTGTTCATTACCTCATATAATGATGTTTTCTTTTTAACAGCTATTTTATAATTCTTTCTTCAATGTTCTTTCTTCTTTGATTCCAGGCTATGAAGTTTTCTACTTCCTTAACTTCCACGCAGTGTAATACCTGTGTTTCTGTAGTTAGCCTCATTCTGCCCCCAGACAACATGGTGTTTTCAGTTAACATATAAGTCTGTTGGTATGATATTTCAAACTATTTTGTGACTTGTACTTTTTCATGAAATGCAGCATTCTTAGAAATTTTGGTTTAAACATACCTTCATTAATTTTGGCATAGCTATCATAATACTTAAATCATAAAATGGGACCATATGTCATATTCAAGTCAAAGTTTACGATTCAAATTGGGCAGAAATTATTTATAAGCATTTTTAAAAAATCCACTTTTTTTCACCAAGTTGAAAATTCAAAGCTCAGTATAATGCCTATGTTGTCCAGCACCTGTAACAACCGACTAACCTTTTTGTAACATTTTAAAATTATCTTAATCTGTCAAAGCGAGTTTTTCATGGAACTTATAATAACCTTTTGCCAACCTTACATACCAGTCAATAAACAAACAACTGTAGTACCCATCTCTGTAACTGTCTCCCTGCCTTTATAGATATTGCATAACAAGGAAAATTTCAACTCTAACTTCAAAAATTTTGATTTTCTAACTCTTTTCTCTTCCCTTTAGTTTTAGCCAGCCCCCCCCCCCCCCCCCCCCCCCACCCCAACCCCCCCCCCCC